AAGGATTTACATTTCCCAAACAATAATGTTCTATGATCAAATTGATTAATTCAGTTCAGTTAATTTATTTTTTGCACATATTGATTTAGAGCTACAATTAAGATAGCGGTATACATGGAATAAATTGAAGTAAACTTTTAATTTAAAACCATTTTTCGACTAAAATGGTTTTTAAGGTAGCCGTAGATATAAATTAGGAACATGTGAATTGCCTTCAAAGTGTCCAAAGCAAACTGGCGACTGAGTTCAAACGAGTTAGTGAGTTCTGTCACTTGGAAATTGTTGGGTGTTGTAGACTACATGAGATTGGAGAGCGGCCAATATATAGTTAGCGTGCTCTGTTATTGTTCAGGATACTGTAGTGTCACTATCAGAGTGGCGCAGGAACTTGAAGGATTATATACGGATAATGATGATATTAATATATACTTTATACATTAATATACTCGTATACATATAGTGCAATGGTTTCCCCTTGCCTTCTGCAAGAAAGTATATTCTATATTCTATAAGAAAGTATATAATTATATTCCCAAGAAAGTCATCATCAAGTTAGACGAGTGGCGACGTGTTGTGAAGCGTGCCACCGCACATCATGATGACCACGACCGTTCTGCCAAGAACGTATCGACTTAGAAGAAAAAGAATACTCGTATAATACATAAAATAGACTACGTCAACATTTTCAAAGATTTAACATCACAGGAATGAAAAGCAATAAGGAAACCTTGATAGTCCTAGTCTTCGATAGCATTCTAGACATTTTATAGAATTTAATGGTAAGATTATTTTTTAAATATATTTCGTGTTTCAAGCGAATGCATAGAGCAAAATTTATATTAATTATAGAATCCTCTAAAAAAAAATAGTTTACTCTCCTCTTCTTATTGTTTTTATATTCAGTTTTATATTTTAGTCAAAGAAAATCATAGCTGTAACCGAAAGTGTTCCCTGAATTTACCCAGAGTGCAGTTGTTTGCAGTAATTTTTAACAGAATCACAGTAGCGGTTAAAAGTTCCAGTGCTGTGTGTATAGCGAGCGTTTGTGGTGAAATCGAGTTGAGAGTTTTGATCTGACGATATGCGCTTGTATGATTTCCCTTTCAGCGACCTCGGAACAGTCGGTACTGAATGAAAAACTGTATTAGCTCCGCTGTTGCATTGTGTATAATTTTTCCTGTAGTTATATGTAGCTATGTGAAAAGGAAACAATGTATTAAAAGCTTATTTCGAATCCAGCCAACGATAAACAAAAACCGACATTACGTAATATGAAGAAGTCTTAGCCTAATGAAGAAGTGTAAGGGATAGCAATGTTTGAAATAGATTCGTGCTTCAAACAACATAAATCAGAAAGAAACTCATAAAACTGAGCGCGGTCGGTTTAAAGTCCACAACGACCACTTGATTGATCGCTGCAAATGAGACCAACGGACCGACAGACCGAACGACCCTCATACTCATTGGAGGGCTTACAAACTGCAGTTTAGAAGTTTTACATTTATGAAGCTCTGATAAACTGTATTAATATGTTTATACCTATTATGGAGATTATTTTACAAATGATTGCTCGAGATGAGTTCTTCAATAATAAATTATACATTTTAGGATAAACTGTATATTAATACTTTTAGTTTATATTTTAAATAGGACGTCATAATTGCGCATTAACCTACGATTTAATTAAATAATTTGATCAATTACCGAAATTAAAAATGCGGTTATTATGTATTTTATTTTAAATTTTTAACTAAAAGAAACAAAAATATCTTATTAATTGTTTATTCGGTTTAAAAAAAAATTAGTTATTCCTTATAGTTTTGCTGTTTAACAGTTCTCAACAACGAGATAGCATTATAGACGTATATTATTTCTGAAGTGGAAGAACCTAGTCTAGTTACTACAGCTTGAACATAGGCTGACTCGACCAGGGAAGTACCACCCTCTCACAGAAAACCGGCGTGAAGTAGCCTTTAACGGCTGCGTTTTATTCGATGAGGGAGAGAACCGGTTGCCCTTTCCCTGTTCTTCGTCCACTCCCTATTTCCACCCTTTACTGCTTCCTTAACATTTGAGATCAGCACCTATCTGCAACGTCTCATATGTTGTAAATGTCTAAAGGCGACGGTAACTCTTCCCATCTAGTAGACCGGCTGTTCGTTTGCTGACTTTCATATAAAAAAGTGCTACTTATAGAGTATTCTTTGCCAGTAACATTCTACTAGTCTTACTTAAATAATTTCCATGTCAATATACATACATAGTAAAGTCACGACGTAGCTGTATTGATGGCCGGAAGATTGTCTGACTAGAGGACGCTGCGCCATATTCGCACTGCCTCTGACCTGTAAACAAATAGCTCCCGTATAATACACCTAAATGTTATACAGGTTAAGTTACCTACATACATATATAGTACTGGTACTATGTTAAAACATTGCTATGCAGTACGTGCTTCAGACTATTCATTGTATTATTTACGAAGTGATATATCTCTTCCATTGTGCCGTTCTATTGGGTCGTAAGATACGATTAACAATACAGCCTATTCTCCTTACCAGGAACGTGAACCTTCAATGAAAATCGTTACAGCTATTATTTTGAAGTTCATCCTAAATTGAATCAGAAAACGGAGGCCTAGCACCTCTAATGATTATCACATATTTGTGTCGTAGTTTTTGTTAATATGTTTGAGAGTAATTCTTGTTATTTGAACTAAATAAAAACTATTCGTTTGAAACCGAGGACCAAAACTTTACAGACAATGAATAATCAGTTTTATAACATTTAGTCTCGATATTAAATTTAGTTCGATATTGTTTTTACAGTTTATGATATACATACATATTATATTTGATTGTGTTTAATGATGGAAACAAAATAATCAAATAAAAAGATCCGCTCGTGGCACTCAGACGTCTAAATTTATTTATTTTCATTGAAAATTAAATCTGTCGCTATGCATTTTTAATTTTAAGGCTATGGAGAGGAGAGAGTTGTAGCTAGCAGTGTAGCTCAAAGAAAAGAATAAAAAAAAACTTCAAATGAAGATTCTCATCTTGTATAAATTTTGAAAAATAATTTTCCAGTAAACATTCAAAATGTTTTTCTTAAGAACATTGTTTTGTTTGATATTTTATTCAGAAGTAATCTTTATGAATATCACTGATTCCAACATAAAATAATAAGAAAGCTTTTTCATAGTTAAAAAAATTAATGAAAATTTTCAAAAATTACGAACCATATATATTCATAACTAGCTGTGTCGGCAGACTTTGTACTGCCCCAATCAAGAAATAAATTATGTCTTATTTATTTTTTTGGTGTTTATTTTTAAGCCATAAATCTCATAAGTATTATCATAAGTATTATAAGCTCACTAATGAACTCACTAAAAATAGGTTATCGTGGATTTGTATAACAGCTAATTTTCTCTAAAACCTTCTAAAAGACTTGTTCCTGTCCGGAAATATCAATTCTTTTTTGGAACGTACTTCAAATGCAATCCTAGTAGGTTCCTTTCAAATTTGGTTAGGTAGAGATATTAGTTTAACACGCGTTACATAGCCCCTTAAACCTTCACCTGCATCGCTATCCCAGACCCTGTTGAAGCTTCTCTCCCTCCAACGCGATGGACCCACCACCTATACGGTGAATCCATGGAATGCTGAGAAGTTTATTCTCTAGATATCTTATAATTTTATCATAATATTAATAAATATCTTTTTTTCTCTATAATTAATATTCTAAAAATGAATATTAGCATGTTTTACTAAATTCGATTAAAAATAGGATTTTTTTATAAATAATATTCAGTAAATTATATTCAAAAGATTCATAAAAGTTTCATACCAATTGATTTTTATATACCGAATGTGTAATCTGCATGCAGGCTACTGGTAAAATATTTTTATCATGTTATTTGAAGACTAATAAAAATATTCGTTGCTGAATTATTGTAACGCAAAGATATCAGTGTCTGTGGTCGGGCTAGATGTCTATTGTAAGCCAGATGTCAACACAGTGATAGATCGACGCTTAAATCGATTCACTGATTGATGTAGATTCATCGAAAAACAAATATGACCTAACGATTATTATCCAATAAGAAGATATTTTTCTATACTAAGTATCTGTTTTATAAAATTGCCTATAAATCTTTTTCCAATTCAAGTTCTACTTGCATTGTATGTATGTATGTATGTTGTGAGGATGAAATGCTTATGTCACTTTTGATCAGATATCTTCAATCAGTGTTTTATAAACTTTGTATTGTAGTTAATATATATGAAAATATATTACAGTCATTTCATGTCTTAAGAACAAGAGAACTATTAAATGATCTTTTTAGTATAATAGTCGGAAACGTATCTTCTAATGTTGCTGGTAATATGTAGTGTGTTACTAGTATAAGTGATATTTTATAGTGTCGGCAGACGAGACGTTTTAAATGCCTTCGTCGAGGGATGCGTCTTAAGTGGTCTCGTGGCTCCTCAGTCGTGAACTACAAGTGGTTTAGTACTGTTTAAAAAAATAAAGAATAAAGCCACTGTTAATTGCTGGCTCTTACAAATATACGACCATGTTTTTTAATGTTCGTATTTTTTGTTAAGAAATAAGTCATTTTCATCGGGATCCTGTCATGTAAATATTTTCAATCTCTGTCATTACACCTTAGAACATTTGGTATTTATTATAATAAATAAATTATATTTTAGTTTTAATTAATTTAATAACAATATCTAAATGAATATGCATGTACATTTGTGGTAATCCTCAGTATGTATATTAAATTAGAGCATCATTGTTTGAGTATCGTAGAGTTACAAGGACGTATACAGCTCGTACCAAACTTGAGCACATCTTAAACCAAGGACTTTATACATTTAACGTCTTAAAATTTTATTTAATTATAAATTGTTGTATAATTCACAAACTTTTCTCGTCGGTGACTTATTATACGTTTATCATTTAAATGTATAATAAGGAGTATATTGTAGGTAAATTGAATCCTTGTTTACCCGTGAAGGCCGACCGACTCGTAGCCACATTACCAGTATCAAGGGACACGAGAATGCTTCCTTTGCCACGGCAATGAGAACTGTTCGCTTCGTAACAACTAATCTTAGGGTTATCCGTTTTCATTTAAATATTATTTACAGTCAACACTATATAATATCTTTAGCGTGTCTTATTCGAGTTTACTTTAGGCGTTTTAATTATTTGATAAATTTGGGTAAGCCAGAGATTTCATCGAAGTAGCTGACAGCAGCTCGTTATCTTACAACAAGCTCTTTCATACTTTAAATATATATAATTAACGTCCCGGTAATTGACAGGCGTCGACCTTAGATTACTTACAGACTGTGAAAAGTAAGTTTTATTAGATGTTCGGTGACGAGGAGTTAGATGACTGTGATGTTATTCAGACAAACTTATGATGGTTTATAGTTGACGCGGTTGTTTGAGTATAACAGGATCTGTTACTAGCAGAGTATTCATATTTTGTTGTTTAAAGTATTTACAGTTGAATGTTTCTGTTCTCTTGAAACTTTTCGTTCATCTCATTGTGTAGTTATGTCACGATCTTTGATGTGAACATTACATAGTACTCCGGGGACATTGGAATAGCTCCTAGATAGTGGTGGTAAATTGCCGCAAATTGCAACAAAGTGGTCGGACCGTGCGGCCTCTCGGACTAATTCTCTTGGAGCGATTTAACGCCATTGTCGTAACAGCCCTTCCCGTTACAATCGACTATTATTCGTTTGTGTTAGTGAACTAAGTACATACATATCGACTTGTAGCTGCCTATAGAATCACAATTGAATTTTTCTTTATATCGGGATATCTAAGTAAGTAACGGGTTGAGGCGACAAAAAAAGGTTTCCGTCCGCTGGGAACACTTTATCGCCGTTAATAATAAACGTATCATAATACCTCTCTCCTGTCCAGCCCAGCGCGGACCCCGGACCCTCTCCCTTTGTTTAATAAATCTGAACCGCTTAAGAGCCCATTCTCTCTGGCTGTGATTATGGTCTATATCCTGATTTACCCTCGCCGTATACCCACATATCTATTAATTGTTCGGTAGTTTTATTTCCTTTGTTCCTCTGTACGATTTAAAATTATTTCAATATCGAACATAACCGTTACTTAATACTCATAATAAATTCGGTTTAATCTCGTCGGGAATGAATCGTAATAACGCCTATAACGATAGAATTCCCCTCACCATCATTTAAATCGCTTAATCGGAAAGTAACATTGAAATTTCAAGTTGAACATTTTGAAATTTCTCATTCGGAATTACAACCGCTTAAAAGGAGTAGGAAATCGCTTAATTACAAAACCCCGGGGAAACGGCGGATATCCTCCCTTAGAAGTCCCTTTTTTTTTCCAGTAAACAAGAATATTCTGACAAAATGATGGTTTCTCGTCAAAGGAATCCGGTCCCGTTCGTCGGGGGATATGTAGACGTAATTATAAAGAAGGGAACATTCTGAGGTCAGGTATAAATCAGGCTTTTGTAACGGTTTTGATTGTTATATATTATATAATCTGCGTAATCAGACTTCAATCTCTGTTGTATCAAGAGTAATACTAGATTAATTGATCAAACAGTTTGTTCACACGCTGTTGCACTTGTCGTGTTTTATAAAAGTCGTCATACTAGTTATTTATACTTATAAAGAGAATTTCAATGCTCCCATAAAATAATCATTTTTTTAGAATCGTAAGCCATTAATTTGCAATAAACGGAGATCATAAAATAAGAGATTAAGAATCAACAGATATTTTATACAAGTAGGTGCATGTCATAACTTTATAGATATGAGTCGAATAATATAGTAGACCTACAATTGTATATGTTACATATCTTTGTCCAGTAATCACTTAGAGTTCCCTTTGACCTGTATGTATGTCGGTTTCGACATAAATATATCACGACTCAACCATAACACTGACCCTCACTGAACCTTCTCCATTACAATGGAAGATTCATTCTTAGTAAGTTACTGACTAGACACAACTCATAGATGTTAAATAAAACATCTATCATAAAACGCACCTGGGAAAAACATTATTCTGTATAAAATGATTTAAAAAAATGATCAGTAAGAATTTTTTTGTAGCTAATACGTTTGTTCGTTTGTTTATACATTTTGTTTGGAACCAAATTATATGCCTTTTCCGAGAGTATAGCCAAATTATTGTAACATATTGTTGTATAATAAAAATCGTGTTTCCGTCCCTCCTGTTATAATATGTCGCTAGTTGGTTATGATCAGTTATTGCAGCTGTATACGTAATGACTCCCAATTAGTGTAATGCCCCCGGGCTATATACTGCCTTTGTTTTTCGTTTCAAACGGTTATTGTTTTGTGAAATTGAATTTTAATTGAATCACTCCGCCTGCTAAGCTTAATGATCTGACTCCGGAAATAATTATATATGTTACATTAACTTATTGTATTGTTATATTTCTGGTTGATGTACAAATAAAACAAATATGAAAAAGCAATGGTTTTTTAAAATCATAAATTTAGTAAGCAGAATTATTCATTAAAGGCATTACAGTCTTCACTTAATGAAATTCTGTATTGCTTTTTTTGTGATATAAAATAAAATTCTCTGAATTATTTATTATATTATAAAATATTGTTGATGTAAATTTTTAAATTATAAAGGAAAATTTTTCATTCAGTTCTTTAAGTCTGTAATAGAGCGTTGAACATTGAGGCTTACTCCGAGTAATGGCAAACACTTATTTCTATTTCTTGGGAGTATTTTATAATTTCTCTGTTAAGAATTTCCTTATAAAGAAATATAAATAATTAAAGTGATCTCTGTGTTAAATATATATTTTATTGAGAAAATTGTTCTCATTGATTCGTTATACTAATTAGTATTTCTGTTGTCATGTTCTCAATATGATATGATGTAATTCTACATTAAGTCAGTGGTGGCCTAGTGGTTAAGAGGCCCGCCTCTCGTTGCCGAGGGCGCGGGTTCGAACCTGGCAAGTACCAATGTGATTTTTCGGAGTCATATGTACTTTCTGAGAGTATTTAGACATCACTGACATACGGTGAAGGAAAACATCGTGAGGAAACCTGGACTTGTAGTTTCACAATTATAAGTTTGAAATCACCAACCAAAAAAGATATTTTTTCTTTTGTTTAATCTCATTGTCACAATGAATTTGTATAATAGAAATAAACGGTGCAACTTGAGTAACCGTGTTTCAAATTCCAAATACATATATATAAGCATATATACATATATATGTATTATAGACTAGTTTTTGCCCGCGACTTCGTCCGCGTTAGTTTGGTCAAGATTAATATATGTAGGTATAGCTGACCAGGCGAACTCTATTCCGTCTTAGAGGCCATAAATAATCCTTTTTAAAATATTTTTTCCTGTTTCAATCAAACAGAATGATTGACATATTAGTTAGTTGTCAAATCTAATGTCAAAAAAAAACTTTTGTATGGGAAATAGAATAGGGCTGTTTTTAGGGTTTTCCCGGCAATTATTCCAATTTTTCTCACCTTTTAAACCTACCCTGGACTTCCAGGAGTATTTCAAGACTAAAATTAGCCAAATCAGTTCAGCTGTTCTCGAGTTTTAGCGAGACTAAGGAACAGCAATCCATTTTTATATATATAGAAGATTTTGCTAAGTAAGCTTTACCAAATAAAATATTTTTCACTTTCGGTTTTCATTTTACAACAGTCTGATGCTATCAAATTGTTTAAATAACAATGAACAAATATAATTTGTAATGCAAAAAAAAACAAAGCCGTTTAAAATAAAAGCAAATCATTAATTAATTTAATTGTATGTTTGTTGTTTCATGTAACCGCATTAATGACGGGAAGCTCATTAATTTATATCATAATATAAATCCTGTAATAAATGATCACGGCACTAGTGTATTGGTTATCAATAATTTGAAACACCAATATCATGCATGCAGTATTTAATTGTTAAAGTATTAATATGTAAATGTATATATTCTGTTTTAAACTTAACTCCAAACAATCAAAATCACAAGTATTGTAATTAAAGTACAAACGTCTTAATAAGCCGTATCTAAATAGTAATCCAATATAAATAAAGATTTATATTTATATTGTCCACACAGTGTACTGATACAGTTGATTCTGGCATCTCATTCAATTCTTTCTGAATACTTCCTCGGTAGTGTCATCTACTTCGTATTGTATATCAACCAGCAGCTAGTTTTATACGTGTTTTTATTCATCGTCATATTTATAAAGTCGCCTGAGATCGTCCCGGGAGCGGCAAACATGTGAATTATGACTGCATTCAATGCACGTGTAGCAATTTCGCGATATTAGTGTCGCAATATCTCGCATTAGCAAACCTCCCCCTTCCCCCCTCCAGCCTCACACTTCATAACCCTCAATCCGTTCTTCTCTCATGACTTGATGCCTCATGATTCAGTTTGTGAAGTGAAATCGGTGCAATCGTAGATATGCAATTGACGATGTGACACGGTTTTACGAATGAGTTCTTATTGGATGCTTTTTAAGTCTTGGAGATTTGATTATAGTCTTTTTATAAGGTTGTTTTACTTATTTGATTATTCTACTTTATAAGAAGATTGTAATTTTTTTTTATAATCAAAATTGCTATTTCCATAAAAAATTCTGAATCTAACCATCATCTAATTCAAACCATCTCTTGTCTGATTACGAAGATAAATAAAATATTTTTTCAATTCATAAACTATTTCCATTACTATAGTACCAGGAGAGCATAAATTTGTAAGAGCATTTTACCAGTTCCAGTCCTGAGGGAGTGTCCCCCATGTATAATGTTCAACCAATGGCGTCACATTACACAGTCAGTAATGTAGACGAGTTTTTGTTGAATTCCCAACATTTCTGCAGTATTGTTGTTCTCATTGTAGAAAAAATGTAAATAAAAGTTTGTATTGTCATAACTCATGTTAATTGTTGAATAAAAAAATTGGAAGCGAAAAAAGAAGGTTACCCATTAATATGCGTGTTCAAATCGACCCAGATACATAATATAACACCTGCTCCCCCGTCACCCCTACAC